TAAAAATTATTATCTGTTTGTCAGATATATCACTTAGTAGAATGGCAAGCCAAAACCTGGAAGAAGAGATTTGTGTGTGAGTGTGTGTGTGTATAAAATAAAGAATTCCTAAAGATTAATTTTTAAATCCAATTTAAAAAAAAAATATCTTTTTGTCATATATAACATATAATAGAGTGGAAAGCCAAAACCTGGAAGAAGAGATTTGTGTGTGAGTGTGTGTGTGTATAAAATAAAGAATTCCTAAAGATTAATTTTTAAATCCAATTTAAAAATAAGGAGGTATGCTGGGCACTATGGCACACACCTATAGTTCTAGCTACAGGAGGATTACCATAGCCCCAAACTTTGAGGCTAGCCTGGGTACAGAGTCAGTTTAAGCCGCCAAAACCTGGAAGAAGAGATTTGTGTGTGAGTGTGTGTGTGTATAAAATAAAGAATTCCTAAAGATTAATTTTTAAATCCAATTTAAAAATAAGGAGGTATGCTGGGCACTATGGCACACACCTATAGTTCTAGCTACAGGAGGATTACCATAGCCCCAAACTTTGAGGCTAGCCTGGGTACAGAGTCAGTTTAAGCCGAGCCTGAAATATACAGTGAGTATAGTTTAAATAAAAATAAAAAGGGCTGGGCATGTAGCTCAGTGGTAGAGCACTTGCGTAGCATGTAGGAGGCCCTGGGTCCCATCCACAGTATCAAGAAGAGGAAAAGGAAAACTGAATAATCCCCTAACAAGAACAAAAATTACCAAGTGGTAAAAGTATACAAAAAAGGGCTCATTATTTGAGAGAAATACAAATACAACAATGAGCTATGGATAGCCACCCATCAGGATAGAGTAATTAAGGCCGACATTACCAAGTACTGGAGGATATGGAACAGCCGGGACCCTCCCACATGCCTGGCCAGAGCTTCACTTGGTGCCACCACCGAGGAAAGCGGTCTGGTGGTGGCTTCTCCAGCGAACATGTGCTCAGCCTACGATCCAGCAACTGAACCTCTGGGCACAACCCCAGGGAAAAACTGCACACATCCAACAATGTCCTTAACGGTTTTATTATCACAGCCCCAAACTGGTGACGGTGCAGATGCCATCAGTGGGAAACGTATAACAGACTGCGGCACGCGCTCCAGGAAATAACCATTGCCACGCGCGACAAAATCCAAGAATTCAAAAATCGAAGAATCTCCAAGACATTGTATTGAGTGTAACAAGCCGGGCAGAAAAGTGGGAGAAACTAATCAATAGTGGTGGAGGTCGGAACGGGGGTCCTCTGGGTGTGGAAGGGAGCCTGAGGGGTGACTGGCAGGGTCCTGCGCCCTGACGGTGGCGACTTCACAGGTGCCCGAGTGTGGAAAGATTCACAGGCTGCACACGACATCAGGCCGCCCTACTGTGTGTCAGACCATAACACGGCCAGCTTCAAATACGACAAATGCACCAAAATAGTAGTTTCAATGTCCACTGGTGAAAGAAGAGGTCTGATATATTTCCGAAAAGACAGATGGAGTTGTAGAGTACTTAAAGGTTTTTATTAGCACGTTCGGATTATATAACGGATACATGCACAGTGGGGAGTTGGCAAATCTACATATCGCATCTTAATCCTTTTTATTTCCCCTTCCCCTCTAACCCTTGATCCTTGTCCCATCCCCAAAAGGCCTCCCTCCATTAGAAAACAGCTGAGTGGCTCTAATGGGTAAAAAAACGTATGGACCCTGAAGCAAAAGGGGCAGAATGCGGTGCTTGGAGGCCGGGTGTAGAGGTGGAAGTGTCAGGTGGATCTCGGGAACACACGACACTCACCTACTTCCGTGCTGGCGTCGGGGACAGCGAGGAGGGCGGCCCGGCCCAGACTGGAGAAGGTGCAGCTGCAGGGCCTGGAATGAAGGAATGGAGAGAATAAATATTTACTCACCCAAGCTGGGCGAGGACGAGGGTGGGGGAAATGCTACCAACAGCGCCCAACATTTACTGACAGCGGCTGTGTGTCAGACCGCTGTCAGCACCTCCCCAGCACCGTCTCCTTTCACCCTCACAATCACCCTGTGAGAAACTGCTGTTTAGCCCGATTTTACACGGGGAGAAATCTGGGACGCTACATACTGACCCACAGTCTCCGAGGCTGGGAGAAAGCGCCAGAAGGCGGGCAGTTAGGAAATCCAATAGGACTAAGGGTTCAAGTGACCTCACAGACATTGAACAGCTCTAAGGTGCAAGACAGGTTTCTTCTGAATACAGAAGCACACCGGCTAGAATTCTTGGGGAAGGAGGAACTTTTGAGTACCTTCTATGTGTTGTTTATATCCTTGTGCAGTAGCCAAACGAAATTTAGACACCAAGATTTGCAAAACCACACAGCCTGGCCAGGACAGACCAAGGCTCTAGCACAGGTCCTAGTCCGAAAGAAGCTTGGGACAACCCATGGCCAGGGCTGCGAAAAGTGTAACTTTCCAAAGCTTGGGAGTTTCATTTCAGGTCCTTTCAATGGCTCTTCTGATCATTCATCCCACTCCAGGTTGGCAGTGTCAGGTTAGGCAGCAAGAGATGAAAAGGTCCAGGAAACCATGCATTTGATAAGTGAATATTTACTGAGCACATAGGGTATCTCAAGCATGTTTCACTCTGCAACTGTGATAAAGCTTGCCAGGCCTTATGAAAATGTGTACTATAATCCGAGGACACACACAATATACAAATACACGTATATAATCGTAGGCAGTAATTAAATGGAAGGAAGGAAGATGAAGCAGGCCGAGGGGAGGCAAATGCAGGACGGTGAGTGAAAGTCTTTCAGAAGAGATGACTTTTGATTGTAAAGTAGAACAAATGATGGGCCGGGGATTTAGCTCAGTGGTTCTGATGCCTGCCTCCCAAGTGCAAGGTGCTGAATTCGATCCCCAGTACCAAAAACAAAACAAAAGAGAAAGTAATGAGAGTACGAGGAAAAAGACTGACAAGTTGAGAAGGTAGCAAGTGCAAAGGTCCTGGGATAGGAATGTGCTAGGTGTAGTCAACAGTCTGGCTAGTGCACTGATAGGACCTGGCAGGAGGTGAGATCACAAAGGAAACAGAAGGTCGAATCACACAGGGCTTTGTAAACCATGGGAGGAGTGTTAATTTCCCTAAGTCTGATGGAAAAAACTCATTGCCAAGTTCTCAAGGAAAGTGGCTTGGGGCAAGAGGAAAGGTCAGAGGATTGAAGGCAGCCATATCCAGTGGTGCTGGTGGAGCATGTGAGGCGCTGGGTTCTGAGAAGTCCGCCCGTGAACCGCAGGATTTGCTGATGAATTGGACGAGGGGCCTGTGACACAGGTTAAGAGTAACCCCAAGTTTCCTCCAGAGTAACGAGTGGCACTGCGACTTGCCTGGGGAAGGATTACATGCAAAGGGCAAAATCAAGAGTTTACTTTCTCACACATTAAGTTTCAGATGTCTATCAAGATACCCACTGCAGATGTCGCAGAGGCTGCTGGAAAGTTTGGAGTTCAGGGAGGAGTTATGGAAAATACTCCTTACGGACAGAAGTCTTTGTCCCAGCAGCATTCCATTCACTCACTGTGTACTGAGCTCTGCCTGCTCCGTGTGTCAGGTTCCGGGCTGGGCGCGGGCGGGGTACATAGCAGGGATGTGGGCAGAAGCTTCATGACAGTTTGCTTAGTTTCCTAGTTTCTGAGACGTTTCTCCAGGTGCTGTGAAATACACAGAATCAACTCTCGTGAGTTATAAATACTGAAATGTTCTCTGACTCAGCAATCTGGAAGAGCTTAGAGTTTTCGGAAAGAAAGAGCTATGTATAGACTTGGACAAGTGACAGATTTACTCCAGGAGCTGTCTGGAGACGACCTGAAGATGAATCAGAGGAGGCTGCCTCCACCACACTGATGTTTACCAAGTCAGGATGGTGTAATGGAAACGCACACCGGGCTGGAAGGCAGAAGTTCCGCATCTCGGTCCGGCCTGTGCGGCCTGGATCAGGACACGGGTGGCCTTGTCCAAGACCTCTGCTCCTCTCTGCTCTTCAATGACGTGGGCTCAGTGTCTTCCAAAGAGTTTTCTTTTTCTTTTTGTACCTGCGATCGAACTTGGGACCTTGCACTTGTGAGGCAGGTGGTGGAACTGCTGAGCTAAATCCCTGGCCCTCTTCCAAACAGTCTTCAAACGACTACTTTCTTTTCCTCTTTGCATTACAGTATTTCGTTCTCTGGACTCTATGCAAATGTAAAGTTCTTGGGTTTTTAAAATTTTTATTTATTTTGTCCTGATTGTAAAAATGATCCATGATCCATGTCAATGGGGAAAAGTGCAAAAGAAGCCTCTGTGAAGATTACAAGAGAGCCACGTCTACCTCGCCACCAGGTACCTGCAGCAGACAGCAGAGCTGTAAATGTGCTCTGTGAATGATCACTGTTGGTATCTTCGAATATCAGCTGTAGTCCTTAGCCCAGAACGGAAGAGAAGCAGCAGCAGATGTAGAAGTGGAAGCAGCACAAGTGGAAGAAGAAAGACAAAGAAGAGAGGAGGAGGAGGTGGCTGGGGAGAGAAATCTTCTCTCTAGGGGTTGCGCTGCCTGCAAAGCAGAACTCAGTGAGGTCACAGAGACTGAAACTGCCACTGCAGTATCATATGGATCTGAGATGATGTGTTTTGCCATGACAGCTGCTATCTGACACCTAGGGAATGTGCTAGGAAACACCTTCTGTGCCCATTCCGGTGGTCATAAGCAATAAGGGTGGCTTGGTTTGAGCAATAGAGACAGGCTGTAAACAGACCAAGGCTCTAGCAGGAGTAAGTAGCTCCTGCGTCGGTGGGAGGGTGAGTTCCAAGTCCTTCCTCCTACACTGGGCCCTTCCCTCCCGACCAGGAGGAGGAGCTGTCCTGGGCCAACTGAACTGAACACTTTTTACTGGCGATCTGGTTGGCCGACACCCTATCTGATCAACTAAGAGGGTTTTCTGATTACTTCTGAGAAGGAACTGAAGCCAGACCCTGCCTACAGACCCATGCTACCCACCCTCAAAAATTGAACAAGCTGCTAACGTGGAATAACTGCAACATTCAGCACATAGGTCTGAACTATCAGAACCCCTTGGGAAATCGTTAGGCTGGCACTACATGGTCCTTACGTCATGCAGCAATCAGCTGGGGTTGAGGGGCATGTGTTCTTCAGTTCCTCAGGACCCCATGACTGGACTCCTACATGCCACCACCAGCTTTCTCATTTACCGGACTCAATACCTCTAATTATACAAGGCATCTTGGCGGGGGGCACCAAGCACTGTGTAAATCCCCGGGAACATGGGCAACACAACTCCTGCCTCGGAGGGGTTCCCAATCCAGCAGGGGAACAGATGCACAAACCACTACACCACAGTGTGGGGTCATGGCAAGGGCAGCACAGAAAGCAGGAACACGGCAAACGACAGGCAAAGGACCCACTGTGTCCTGTCAGAGCTGGGTTTGGAAGGATGACTAAGGGTTCACTAGGCAGACAGACTGACGGGAATACTGACAGCAGTATCAGAAGAATATGGAAGCTCATCTGCTCACTACTTCCCGGGTGCACGAATGAACCTGTCCAGCCAGCAACTGCCTTTCTCCCGACTGCCACTGTCTACGAGTCTCTGCCTGGGTCATCCTGTTCCTCTTTCCAAAACAACAGAGAAGTTCACCTCCTCAGGGAAGACAGCCTGCCTGCCTATTCACTTCCTGTTGCCTCAATTCAGGCCAATCTCCCATTTTGGGTTAACTGGTTACCTGTGACTCTGTTATTGGAGTGCTTTGTTTTATTCTGGAACCTCTGATATTTGGAAAAAAGACCAGCATGCTAAGCAATTAATCAGTAAGTATTTATCTAATATACTGTGTAGAGAATCCTTCCAGTCATATATTAACTAAGAATTGAGAAAACACTTATTGAGTGCCTAATATTCAGAAGTTTTAAAAAAAAATCGTTCTCTACTCCCATCCCCTTGTTTTGAAGCAAGCCCTAGACATTTTTATCGTTGAATCCGTACACCGAGCTGCATTCGAAGAAGGAACTGGAAGTGTGAAGATCTTCCACTAGTAACTTCCTCCCCCTGACCTAGTCTTCTGCCCTGAAAGCAGTTATATACGGATTCCTACAGGACTCCTAATCCTTGGTAAGACAGTTGGGACCTCTGAGTTGGCTGACGAAGGCCGAGCTGAGCGGGTGAAAAATTGCATCCTGCAGTTTGTTTGGAATGCTGACCAGTCTTTTGCTCTCTGGTCCTCATAAGACTGCTAATTCTTTGGAGGCATACTGAGTACCTAATGTTTGCACAGAATGGTAGCTACACACAATCCCCTGTGCTTTCAGCAACCTCGGGAGAAACTTCAGACTGTATAACGTTCGCCCCATAGGCTGAGCCGGCTCAGAGTTGTTTCCTGTCACAGCCCAGATCTTCACTGGTTGAGAGGCTGAACATTTGAACACCTGGCTTTTCTATTTCCCACCCCTTCCGCGTTTCCCATCCCTCTACATCCATACAGTCGGTCGTCCGAGGACACCTGGGCTGCCTCTCACACTTGTGTCGTTGGATTGTAATCCACTATGGTCCACCTCCCTCAGGGCCCTTTCATCCTTCTCTGAAGCACTACAATATCTAAGCATCTACCTACCTACCTTCAGCTCTCCGCCCCAACCCCTTCTCCCCGCAGCAGCCTGGTGAATCCCTCCATGGTTCCTGACGCCCGTGGGAGCAAGACCCACCTCACCACCGCCCAGGGGGCACTGCCAAGTTCAAGGCGTCCCGGATGCTTCTCCAGTTTAACGCACAACCAACACGCTCTGTGCTCTCACCTGGGGTGAAGTTGCACCCACAGATCCCTCGCTCACATGCATTATCCCATAAGCGTCCACACCATCCAGAATTCTTCCTTTTGGAGGTGGAAACTGGGGATGGGCGCCTTACCCAAGGTCAAACTATTAATAAGTGAAAGAGCAAAGACTCGGATTCAAACTCGCGGATTCGGAGGCCGCGAGCTAAACCACAGGAGTCCCAAATTTCTACACACCCTCCACAGGCGCAACGGTCAGGATGAGCGCCGCCGTTCCGCGCCCCAACAAGCCGCCCAAGGGCCAAGAAGGCTTCTGATTGGTCGCCTCCGGGGCGAGAGGGCGGGGCGTGGGGGGCGTCTCGAGGAAATGACGCAACATCGCGACTCCTTAAAGGCACCGGCCCCGCGCGGAGCGCTGAGCTGGGCTGGGCGGGTTCGTGCGTGTGTTTTCTGTGCGGGGGGAGCGCGCTCCGGGTCCGCGAGGGGTTCGAGGGGTCGAACCCGG